GCAGTCCTGCTTGCTTATGATGGGTCTGGTTTTTCGACCACGTTAGCTAAATGACCAATGGAAAGGTTCAAAAGATAATCCAAAACGTGGAAGGATGATGATAATAATAGTGTTACTGAAGGTGATGGTAATGATGATACTCTGTTTTTTAAATTTTTCAATAACTTCTATATTAGTTGGTTTCCTGGGAATCCATTGAGTCTTCTGACTTATTGGCGCCGATCCTTACTGGTTCAATAAGATTTTCCATTATCCCATCCAACTTCCACATTTTTTCATTTATGTTAAAGAAATGAGCAACAGCGTTCTTTCCAATTTGTAGGATGTATTTAATCTATACTAGATTGTAATAGGCGCTAAACATTGCCAATTTTAAATGTAACGTTCTTTCGGGCAACATATCTCTTCATTTAAGCCCAAATTAATTCAATTCACCAAAGGTTCTTGCTTAGATGAATAGATATGTTGTGGAATACAATTTTTAGATTCCCCATGTCATTATTTTCATCTTTTTATCGTCTTTTTGACTTAAAATTTATAAAAGGCACATATTTTAGCAAAAATCTGAAGTTTGGTATTTTCAACCATAAAATCTTTGGATTTCTATTTTCTGGTTTTAATTTAAATTTATGTTATTTAATTAATTCTAATTTATTGTATGCTTATTTTAATTTACTAAATAAAACACGATAATTTATATCAATTTATTAAACCACTGTACAACAATTTATTTGACTAATAATTACATAATTTATCTATACATGCGTTACATTTTAAAACGCGATCGCGATCTTCTTTTCTGACTGCCTGTTTTCTCCAAAAAGGTCCCATTGTTTAGGATTAAACTTGAGAGGTCGCTGGTTAAATTATATCAGATAAATAATTATAACGAAAAATGCAATATTTATTTGTACATAAAATTAGCGAAAATAGCAACTATAAAGTATGAATAAGTTATGAAATCAACTGGTTTACTCATTATTGTTGTTTTGTACAAAGAACAGACTTACCCTTTGGTTCTATTGATGAATTCGTAACAGGCTGAAGAATTGGTCGCTGGGCATCACGACGCCGCGGCCTGGGCGCCGAGGCTAATAACATGAGAACCGTCCGAATCTAGGTCCGTGTCGATCGTTGTCTTATGAAGAAGTGAGAATGCGTTGATAGGGTCAGAGCTAAGATGGAACCCTCTAAGCGGTGGTCCGAGAGGGTGTACCAATAAATCATTCCATTGTATTGCAACCTTTCCGATAATTTTAGCTAATTGTGACGGTAACACGACACTTTACACTTGTGTGTATATTTTTGAACCATACAAAAGATAAGCCAAATTCGCACATACTTTCCCAAACACCCGTTATATACCAATACCGTTGCTAGACTAGAAAGATGTCGACCCTTGTCGAAAATACTGGAAGGCTACGGCTGGTTTTTCATTCAACGTATTTCCGAACATATTAGTGAATGAATGGGAATATTAGTAATAAATATGTTTACGGTTTTGGGTCACAATTTATCGTAACAATATTAACGATACCTTCCACGATGCTTTTTGATTATTGTCTATTGTCTATTAGTTCTGCTTTGACCATATCCTCTGTAAATGAAATACATTTTTTTCTGCATGTCGGAATTTCTCGGAATGACGCAAATCAAGAATCTCGCCAGCAGTAAAACCAGAACGGGTCGGCCTTGGTGGGGGGGGTAGCTTTCACTTAAGACTTCTTAGCTTCTTTGAAATGTCGTGAAGATAGCGTATACGTAGATCGAGAAATACATGATAAAAAGTATTCTTTTTTGGTGGATGCTGGAACGACCAGAACCATTATATGCCCGACAATTATAAACAGCCGTAAAACTTTTAACCAACGAGTTGCGACTGCGGACTACCACAGATGAAAATGCCAACATCCACAGAGAAATTTAGATCCAATGAGGAACTGGGACAGGAAAGTTCGTCCCATACTGTCATAATTGCTGACATCGAAGAGGATGTTATATTAGTAATGAACGTAATGAATTTGCATGGGTTTCAATGGGATTTTAAGAATAGGGTAATCAAAGTGGGTAACGATGGAGTATTACTTCATCCACATGATGACAGTACTGTGCAAGCAATCGTTAAAGAAGATACGGTTGGGCTTGGACGAGGTGAACAATCATAGTGGCGCGTGGCGCGACTGAAGAGAATTGTGGTCAATGATTACTCAGTGACCTTCAAGGAAGAGACAAAAGTAGGAATCTGTGTACCATCGTCAAACGATAGCATCTGATAATTCCAATGACAAATTTTAACATTAAGTCCCTGTATTCAAATATTTCTAGTGATGATTTAGTATGAAATTTTACCCTGCATAAACAATTCCTTCCTAAAATATACTCAATAAATGTTTGTGAATTGCGGTAATTGTTGATTTTAAATTTTGTTTAATGTTTTAGATGATTGGGAAATTCCCTTCGATCAAATCACTGACCTCAAATTTCTTGGATCTGGAGGACAAGGAGCAGTATTCTCAGGAACCCTCAACAACGTTCAGGTGGCTGTAAAGAAAGTCTCAGACCTTAAAGACACAGATATACGAAATCTTAGGAAGCTGAATCATCCTAATGTAGTGAAGTTCAAGGGCGTTTGTACTCAAGAACCTTCGTGTTATTGTATAGTGATGGAGTTTTGTCCGTATGGGCCTCTGTTCGATTTGCTCAAAAACCAGAAAAATATTGTGACGATTAATAGGGTAGTGTCCTGGGCCAAGCAGATTGCAAACGGAATGCACTATTTGCACAGTCATAAAATTATTCATCGGGATCTAAAAAGTCCAAAGTAAGTATGGATACTTTAATATTAACCATGTATGTGATTCCTCATTCCGATTAAGATCTTTTTTTTAATACCAAACATCAAAATTTACTAATTAAAATATAAAAATTATTATCTAGAGGTATTTAGGGTTGATGTGGTCCACAGAGTTGTATACACATTATTGTATCGATATTAAATAAAACGAGCGGTTCGAATTTATATAAATATATTTATTTATAAGTTTACAGTTCGGTAATATCTAGAATATTCTGACGTAGTCCACCTCTAATTCGTTTGCTTGACGGGTCGATCTCTCCCGCGCTCGATTCATCTGGAAGCTTCTCGTCATCTCGCGATGCAACCGTTATATGGGCTACGTCGAATTCATGTTCGTAACACTGCTCCCATCGTAGATCTGAGCGTCCCGATCAGCAACTCTATATGTAGGCTCAGGATGGCGGAATCTACAGGACTCTCCAGCTCTGCATGAACCCCTCAGAAAGAAATAACAGTGTACTGACTTTGAAGAACACGATCTCATCGGTTAATGCAACACACAGTAATTCTTACGCCGGTTTCTCGAAAGATCACTTCAAGCATGCTTCTGACAATCTTCCAATCCAGATTATCTAGTGTATGGCCTATCTTGTGTAAGGCCATACTTGTTATCATAATCGCAGGCATTTTCTTCAAATTAGTTAGAGCACGCCATATATCCTCATAGCTTGCCCTGTTTGTATACGACTTCCTGGTCACAATATACAGCAAAGATCGAGAACCATCTTCTAATCTCAGTACTCTTCCAACTTTAGGCTGCTGGTTTTTTTAACTCGTCAAACGACCGAATTTCTTATAAAATACGGATGAGATTCCTTTAGTCATCTCAAGATCTTGGGCAACACTGTGGGCTAGAGAGACGTTATGCGGAACACTAAAAAGATCCTGCTGCACTTCTGTGGTCATGCCGAATCTAGCACTCTTTCTTTCTGCGTAATTTGACATAAATTCATTAAAGCTTGGTCGCCGGTCATCTTTGATCTCATGTTGAAGGGTTCGCGCTTCTTCTGTTTCATTTGAGCCAGCATAAGGTGCAAGACGATTTATGTGGAGTACTTTTGGTTTACCTTTCGGCAACTTCTTAATTTATTCTCTTTTTAATTTCATACGGACTTTCCCATTGTTTTTGCAGTTTAGGAGACGATGACGTTGTGGATTATAAAGCCAAACAAGATCACCTACTTTATAGCTTTCATTCTTACATCCAGAATCATATTGATCTTTCATTCTGACACTGGCTATTTGAATCTGTCGTCGGGCAAGTTCATGAATGTTGTTCATTCTTCACTTCAGGCGATTGACATATTCTTCGCTTGCTACATGTCCTTGGGAAGGTCTACAGCCATACTCTAGGTCGCAGGGCAAACGAACTTCACGACTCAGGATCAGGAAGGTTTGAGTCAGGCCTGTAATTTCATTCACGGCCGAGCAGTAAGCCATTAGGAATAAACGAATGTGCTGGTCCCAATATATTTGATGTTCTGATACAAATTTGGACAGGTGTTTACCCTATCGTTCGGTTCATCCTCTCGTCCATTCCATTTAATGGAGGATGCAGGATATCGTTCGGGTCTTATTGACACCAATCAGTTTACAAACGTTTTGGAAGTGGATTGACTCAAAGTTTCGCCCTTGATCGGAGGTGGATCTTCAAGGGAACACCAAATTGGCTAAACAATTTTTTAACAAGTACCTCTGCAACGGTAGCAGCTTCTTGATTTGGTATCGCATAGACCTCGGTCCATTTCGTAAAATAATCGATGGCTACCAGGATATATTTATTTCCATCATTCGTTTCTAAAAATGGACCTGCAATGTAGATTGCTACTCTTTCCATAGGACTACTAACATTGCACTGTTTCATGGGTGCCCTCTTTTTACAAATGGGCCCATTTGGCACCCATTTTTAAAGTGCTATTTCGTCTTCGTTTCCTGGGATATCATAGAAATTTATGACACAAAACATGTTTCATTACATTTAATTCTCATTAAACAAAAACATAAAAATCATACGATATTTTGATTATTTGAATTATTTATTTTGTTAATACCCTATTTAAGACTGTTTGTCTAGCGTATTAAATACATTAAATAAAATTTAAATTGCTATCTAAAATATTTTTAATTGTCTTGTGTTTTTTAGCGTACTGATTGGAGAAGGCGAAGTAATCAAAATCAGTGACTTTGGTACATCAAGAACATGGAACGGCGTCAGTGAAAAAATGACTTTCGCAGGAACAGTAGCTTGGATGGCTCCAGAAGCAATTCAAGAACTGGCTTGTAGTGAAAAGGTCGACATTTGGTCGTACGGTGTGGTGCTTTGGGAACTCATCACTTGTGAAGTACCTTACGACGGTATGAATCAGGGTGCCATAATGTATTCCGTAGGATCGGGTAAATTAACCCCGCCCATACCTTCTACATGTCCAGATGGTTTCAAATTGATCATGCAGATGTGTTGGAAGTTCAACCCCAAAGAACGGCCAAATTTCAAATTGATTTGCAATCATCTGGAGATCGCATCAGTTGATATATTCTCTAAATATGAAGACAAAACTTTCTTCGAAACACAAGAAAGCTGGAAGCAGGAAATCAGATCTCACATATTTCTGTTTTGTGAAAAGCTACAGAAGCATAAGATCGAGTATCAACTCAAAGAGGAACAGCTTATTAAGCGAAGAGAGTTAGAACTGAAGCATATTAGAGATATAAGGCAGGTGTATGATCGAAGACTGGAAAAAGTGAATCAAATGTTGATTATGTTGTCAGGGAAGATTCAACAGATTGAACGACAAAGACCTTGTGGACGGCCAAAAAAGATGCTCTCTAGGTTTAATACTGCCAGGCGAAGACCCGGGAATCAAAGCACCACCCCTACTAGTCCCGAATGCAGTTTAACAAGTCCTGACAGTCCCCAACTCGTAAGTGTCAATATTTATGTCTATATAATAAAGAAAAGTTAGATTACAGTTTCTGAAGCTAAGTAGGACTAGTTTTTGTTACATTTTTTGTTAAGATGAACCGGGGTAAGTGTAACTTTGGGCAAGTGTAACATATGGGCTTATTTGACTAATATAAATGCATTACAGTGGTGACATCTACAAAACAGTAGTGGCACTATATTAGCTGTGTTTCTGTAATTTGAAAGGTTAACTGTAACTATTGGTTTTCAAGATAACCATAATTAGTTATTGTCTAGTATCTGTTTAGTTTAGTTTAATTATACGTAGTCATTTCTGTTTAAAAATTTGGTAAGTAGTACAATTTTATTCTTTGTTTTTAATTCTAGCATCAAATTTGAAATTACTTATGGTTTGAAGTAAAAAAGCATGTAGGTTACACTTACCCCTTAAAAATAATTTGGCGGGAAAGTGTAACCGGTTGCATAGGGGAAAGGGTAAACCTGCATGTTATAGGTACTTTAGAGGGAGAAGGTTAATTTTTTGTAATATTGAATAAGTACTTAATAAACCGAACTTACTGCCTTTAAGGTTAATCATTAGAAACAAATTTTAGGCTGTACGATTTGTTTCTAATGATTTACTCATTTTCAGATCACTGTTATGTTTCAAAATGGTTCGGAATTACGTAAAGAAAGGGCGACAGCCATTGTATTCAGTTGATACTTTAAAGTGGCTGTAGAAGAGGTCAGAAGTAGAAAACTTACCTTATATAGAGCAGCAAAAGTATATTCGATACCCAAAACAATACTTTGTACTCATCTAAACGTTTCGGCACCCGAAACGGTACTTTCTCTAGATGTTGAAACATGTATTGCAGATGGAATTACAAAAATGGCCCAATGGGGTTTTGGACTATCCAATTAGGAGATGCTTGAGTTGATCGGGAAATATGTTAGTCCAAATAACATATGTACACCATTTCGTGACGGCGTCCCTGGAGATGATTTTTCAATCTGTTCAAAAAAGCTCATAAACTTTCCTTGAAAACAGCGCAAAGTGTTGAAGCTGCAAGAAAAAAAGTATCGATCCTTTCTTCATCAACGAGTATTTTAAGTTGCTCAAACGTGTTTCTGAAAATCTCAGTCCTAGTCAAATATGAAATCTTGATGAAACAAGTTTTGTCTGGATCCGAGTAAGACCAAAGTGGTAGCACCGACCGGATTTCCTACTCATCGAGCAACAGCAGGACCCGGGAAAGAAAACATCACTGTTTTAAGGGCGTGTAATGCAGATGGACAAAGCTCCTCCATTAATCGTTTTCCGTGGAAAACATGTTTAGGATTCGTGGATGGCTTCTAGCGATCATGAATTTACAGAAATAACCTACGCTGCAACAAAAAATGGCTGGGTGGAGTTAGAGACCTTTAGACATAGCTCGCATATCAATCTTCAACTTGTTCAAAAAGCAAGTGAACAAAATGTTATTATTCTAAAGCTTCCGACACATTCAAGTCACGTTTTGTAGCCTCTGGATCTTTGCGTATTTAGATCGTTAAAAGGAAGATGGATCAACAGCTCGTGAAGTCGCAAAGGCAAAATTATGTGAAAAAACTTCCAAAACGTGTCTTTTCCGCTATGATATGTAAGATATGGACTGAAACCGAACCCACTATCATAATAAATGGCTTAAAAAAAGCTGGTATAGTCCCGTTTTTTGACCAAATTATCTACAAGGATTTATTTGAGCCTTAAATTTATCAGCGGTGGATAAATCACTGCAGAGAAGTCGAATACAATCAATCAGACATGGTGAACCTTCCTCTTCAAACTGCTAGTACCTCAACTACAATAATTGACGATAAAAAGCGAAGCTTAGCAGATATACCATCATCATTAAGAACAAATACGCAAAACCATGTTCGGCTTAAGAAGTTTTGAAGATATATTATTGGAAACTATTAAACAAAGACGTTCAACTAGTATGAAAAGAAAACGTGTCTGTTTTGGAGCAGAGGTAATTACTTCGATTGAGGCAATAAATAGATTGAAACAAAATGTAAAGGCCAAGAAAAATAAAAAAGAAAACATCAAACCAGTTCATACATCCAAAGGTAGAAAAAAGCCTAAGTCATGCAAGCCAATAATTGACGAATCAGAAGGAGAGCCAAATAAATTACTATTGTTAAGATTGTTAAGAAGACATTTGCGGTTTCTTTTTTAGTTTACATTTTCCCCACAATACGGGGAAGTGTAAACCAATGGACTTATATTCGATTTTTTTTTTACAAAAATAATAGGCCTAATATTATTTTCTTAATTTACATATGTATTATGATTTAACTACATATTCTTTTTGTAAAAAAAGGAAATCGATTCGTTTAAAATTTTAGCCTACAGCTTCGCTTTTATACTATGTAGAGTAATTATATGTCACATTTACCCCGGTTCACCTTACATAACAGATTTTAGTTTAAGGAAAAACCCAAAAGCATACTTATATCGTTTTTGTTAATGTTATATAGTATGACTCATATAATAAAGTTGTATTTCTATTTTTAGATTCCAACAAAAGCGCCAGAATACAGCCGTTTAAATACCGACATCGCAACACACTCTACGACAACACAAACATCAATAACATCACGTAAAAGACATCAGCGAACAAACTCAAACTCTCCTCGAAACTCACGATGCTCCAGGTCATCAAGTTCAAGAATGTCGATCGTGGTCGATGCCGAAACACAGACTGACTCCATGGATATTAGCGAAACAGATATGAGTCCGACAACCAGCTGCGCGACTACCAGTTGTGCGAGTACGACAGTTTATCCCCAAAGGGTAATACTAGAAGAATTCAAGAGTAACGTCAAAGATGAGGCGGCGAACGGGAATTGTGTGCAATTGCATTATATGGAACCACATCCACAGCCAGGTATCTATTTTTTTATTACTGCTGTAATTTAATGTGTAAAGTATGAGGACTTTCTTAAATTTTAATCAATGGCTTTTCTTAACCCGATATCTGGCAACACCAAAAATAGATGTCGTAAAATTATTTTATTGGGTACATAATCTTATATAACACTCTAACATCCTGTGGTACAAAAATTCAGAAGGCACAAGGGGAAAGCGGTTTTTGAATTCGTTGCCTAGAAGCAACATTGCCGGTCAAGAAACACTATTTGGTACTAACTTCACTAATGAAGATCTCAAAATTTAGTTTAAATCTAAATCTATGGCCGATTGGGTCACTCTGTTTATAGAAAAAAGACTCACACGAATCGTTACCTACATGCTTCATCGCACCACCATCCTGCCCAAAAGAATTCTGTGATAAACTCTCTCATCCATCGGGCCATTTCGATTTCTGAACCTGACAACCTTAGAGAAGAACTTGGCCATCTGCAAAAAACCCTTGTCGCCAACGGTTATTCCAAGTCCACAATTCAAAATATTACACACCGACATCTACATCCCCCTTTACACCCTAGGACGACAAATTCAGAATCTTCGGGTAATACTCCTGTGGCTTTTCTTCCGTATATTCGAAGTGTCACTGACAGGATTGGCAAAATTCTTCACAAAGAAGGTATCAGGACTACTTTTCGACCACCCAAGAAAATCTCACAATATCTACCCTCTCCTAAGGACCCATTACCGCCCCTATCTTCCTGTGGTGTCTATTCTATTCCTTGTTCATGTGGACATGTGTATATTGGCGAAACTGGTCGTTCCGTCAAAACTCGGATTCAAGAGCATCAAAGATGCATTCGATCAGGTCTTTTCTCCCATTCTGCAGTTGCAGAACACTGCCAAGAAACCGGTCATTCCATATTGTTCGAAAAAACCCATATTATTTCTAAGAGCCCCTTCTTTTATTCCAGGAAAATCCGCGAATCTCTAGAGATCCGAAAAAATCCACATAATATCAATCGAGAGGAAGGATACTACCTGTCTCCCGACAGGTAGAGAGAGATACGTTCCGACACGACAGGTCACCGCAACTATAAATAGAGCGGTAGCGGAGTAACCGTTGGATTCACTCCCCGCCTCTCGACGCGTTAGTGTTCTGAGCTGTTGGACGTGAATCCCTGTCCTGGCATTTGGTTTTCACCTCTGGCTGCGTTAAGTAGTTGAGTTACTGTGACCAAATGCCCATCTTGGTAGTTAGTATTCGCCTCTGGTTGCGTTGAGTAACTGAGTTACCGTTGCTAACTACCCATCTTCCTGTTTTTTGATTTCTTTTTCTTTGTTCTCCTGAAGAAGCTACATACAATTGTAGCGAAACGTCGAGATGAACCCACTTTTGGGTCACTCACAAATGACACGGTCCAAACCCGGAAGACGAATAAACTATAATTCTGACTCTGGCCGTGGAAGCCTACGATTTCATAAAGAACTGTTTACCTAAAAGACATTTTATTGATTTAATTAAAACACTATTACATACAAAGCGCCTAAGACTAAAAAATTATAAATGTAGACCTAATTCTAAAGTTGGAATGACAACTTGTTCGATGTAAAAGAAAGCCGCATGTTACATTTTTTAATCTGCACCATTGTATATCCAGTTTTACAAAATCTACATCTTTCTTTAGCGATATAAAGTGACCAGTGACCTAACGCATCTGTTCTGGTAGTATAAGGTGTTACAGTAGGAGGATGGCGAATAGTTATCTGTATTTTCCATACTTGATGGACGGCCTCGCTTTACTTCGATCTTTCCTATATTGGACAAATACCTAGCTAGTTCACAAGAGGAATTCTTGAAGAAATGACCCAATAATCTTCTATTGCTGGCAGCCCCTTCTTCTTCTTCAAGTGTCATCTACGTTCCGAAGGTTGGCGATCATCAGGGCTATACGTATTTTCGAAACTGCTGACCGAAACAATTCGTTGTTGCTACAGCTATACCATTCCCGTAGATTCTTTAGCCACTAGTTTCGTCTTCTTCCTACGGACCTTTTTCCTGCTATTTTCCCTTGCATAATTATTCGAAGCAGTTCATATCTTTCGCCTCTTGTAATGTGTCCCAAGTATTGCAGTTTTCGTTTTTTGATTGTATTAGCCCCATAAACATCAACATGGAGAATAAGTTTGTTATTTCGGAAGTGTTTATGATGTACACTTGACCCAGTGTCATTTTGTTTCATGTCTAGACTAGTGACCAGCTTGCACCACCTGTCCGTTCTGTTGGCGGATATCGCATGTAGAGCACTTCCTCCCCGGCCTGTATTGTTACCGAAAAGGGATCATCTTCATATAGCTGCTCGTATCTTTTAAGTAGGGGTTTAGATTCTTGATTTAGCCCGCTGTGGATTCGGTTCGACAACCTGTAGGAATATATTTTTGTGATGTTTTTTTTTACGATTTGTACAAATTTATCATATGAATCAGAGCACAGTTCTAGCTGAGAAAATTCTTGATATAATGCTTCAGCGAATTTTTCCAATTTTGCTTTAGTGAAATTGAACCTTCTCTTGAAAGGAACAATTTCGTATCTGATTGCCGATGTTTTTGGGAGGGCGCTTCCAACAGTTTTTGTCACCTGGTTTCCAATCCTGTCAATATGTCCAATATGCCACTTATTTAAGGGGTTTGTAATTTTTAATTTTTTAATTTTTGTTAATTTTGTTTATATTCAAAAAATATATTCAAAAATTATATATTTGATGCAAGTTGAGATTTGACAGAATAATATTTACAAACAAAAAAGCAAAGGGCGAGATTTTCCGTAGAAATCCTCTTTTTTAAATTACTTTTATATTACAATATATTTCAGATATAAACGTGATTTTTTATTAGTAGTTCAGATATTTACCAGAAGAGATTCCCGAACACCAAGTCCAGAGATCTTTGAATGCGAAGACAGCGTCAATCGAAACATAGATCCGCAATTGTCCAGTGAAGAGGATAATCTCGAAACGATCAGTCGAAAAGTATCTGCGATGAAAATCGATACGATATTCTCACCAGAAAACGGCAACATTTCTACAAATCTCGTAGATATCATTAGGCAGCGAACTTTTTCAGAAACCAGGGACGATTTGGATAGTACTGAAGATGCAGCTAACGAAGATAGTGTCACAGACGAGGAAGGGGAGATATACAATCATCCTTTAAGAAGAAGAAGGTAAATATTTATTTTGAGTAGTTAATTATATTGATTATATAATGCAGCTTTTACAAAAAGATATTTTTACTCCAAAAGGTCAAACGTTTTTTCTAATTAATTATATTCTGGATTTGGATCACATTGTTCACTTAATATATTTTAAATAATTTAAATAGTTCTTTTGGATGTGGTACGTACTGATATTTAGTTTTGTTATCCAGAAGATCGCCAGAATATGTTTGAATCTAGAGTTGTCTAGCCATAGCAACTATCCGCTCCAAAAAAGTCATTTGTGATGTTAATGCACTCTTCCTCTTCAGCACCTATTAAATCAAAGTACCCGTTTATAAGTCGACTTTGTTTCAAATCTAGTAATACATGGAGTTTCATCGATGTTTTATTAGACATTTATTATCTTGACAAGTCTTGTGCGACTTGCACACAGGTTGATGATGATGAATATGGACTCTAATTCATTCTTGACACTCTTTTATCAGAGTCGTTCTTGGGGATCTCGTCTTGATCCCATTAGAGCAGTTTTGGACTGTTGTTTCATTTAATTTTCTCGTCCGTAGTTTCGGTAGATACACTCTGTTTAGCAAATTGGTACGATAACTTTGCACTTTGCTCCTTCATACTCCTGAACTTTTTTCTTTGATCTCCAGATATGTCACGATAGTTTTTGGACCGTATCTCTTAATCTGCTGGGGATCCTTTTTGAAAATAGATTTTTTAGTTTTTGTGTTTTTCTGACTACCCTGTTTTTATTTCTTATATTTTGGTCCATGCTCGTTCAACGAGTATAAGAAAAAAAGAATCTGTACTTACAGAACTCTTAATGTAGTTATTAGACATAATATGAAAGTAGGTGCAGACTGATATTCCAGTAGATCGTTCATTGGGCACTGTTTAATGCACCTTTACCTTGCAGGGTGCTGGTGCAGGTGCTTAATGCATTTGTGTGTTACCACTCTTTTAGTTTCCCGGTAACAGTCTGCTTGGATCAAGCCCCATCCCCATGTCAAGGTGTAACAGTACGATGAGTGTAGAGAGTTTATGTTATTATTTAATCTTCATCTTCCATTGATGTTCTTAACTTAATTTGGTAATCTGCTCTTTTTGTCCTTGACAATCTGTGAGGGTTGTTACACTGATGAGAAATAGAGTAAATTAGTACCAAGTGATATTCTAAGTCTTAATTCGCATCTCTGTTATTAAATAATAATTACAATCAATATTTTTTGGTCTTTATAACTAAAGTTTGTACTAAATCTGATATTAGTGTTACAAGTATCCATTTTAACATAACTTTTTAATCTATGTAGCAAACCTGCTTCTGGAAAAGAATCTGTAAAGTCAAGGTAATCTACACACTGCAGACAAACACATGATATCACATCACTTTTTTGCTGTCACTATTTAGTTTGACCATTACATTTTTATATTAAAAATCAAGAAACACAATGCTCTAAATAATATTTGCAATGCTTGTCTTATTAGGCTGTAGTAAGATTTTTCAATTCTGTTTATGAATCTTTCATAGTTCGATTGGCTTGATAAATTTTATAATTCCATGCGTAACTGCTATTCCAAGCCTGAAAAACATAAAAAAATTAATTAACAGTCATTCCACAAATTTTGTTTGGCATATTTACGTATATACTTTGCATTTTAAATAAACCCACAACCAAAAGTCTTAGGGGGTTAAATCCGGAGAACTAGGTAACCATTCAATAAACCCTCTTCTACCTGTACATCGATTTGGAAATCGTTTTTGAAGATAACTTCACACATCCAAGTGTCAAATAACTGTCAAAGTGTGGATACGTATTTTTAAATACTCTCTACATTTTAAAGTTTATTTCATTGAATTTAAAGCAATACTGAGTAATTTAAAATTAATTTTATTCGGCTAGTTTTTGAAATTGTAGTGTTTAATAAAAATATACTCGCATAGTGCTCAAAAATGTGTTAGCGTCCCCTATGGGGACTGGAATTGACTCAAGGACGCTTTTAAGTGCCTCTAACAATATTGTTAGGTCATCTGAAGTAATGGAGCCTGAAGAAAACGTGGTACCGTTAAAAAATAGAGGATTTAACGTAAATTCAGATAAGTATAATCTTGAAAATATTTTTGTGTATATTGAAAGGATAGATAACACCGATCTTGGTCGCTTACATCCAATTACAATAGGTCATATTTTGTACAAAAAATTAGGAATTTCCAATATAATTCAAGTAAGGGCAATTGGTAGAAACAGAATTAAGGTAGTAGTAGCTTCTATACATGATGCAAATAATCTTATAAATAATACTAAACTAAAGGAAGAAAATTTAAAAGCCTTTATTCCCGGTCACTTATTAGAAAGCAAGGGTTTAATTCGGGATATTGATACTCAATTTGATACTGTATATTTACAGGAAAATATTGAATCTCCTTCACGTATATTAAATATTAAACGTATGAATAGAAAAGTTGAAAAAAATGGTACAATTGAGTATGTTGCAAAACGAACTGTTATTGTAGCTTTTGAAGGTAATATACTGCCTCAGTATGTTATTATAAATAGAGTTTTTTGTCCAGTCGAACAATTTGTAGGTAGGGTTACTCAGTGTTACAGGTGTTTGAGATACGGTCACATTTCAAAACAGTGTAGAAGTTCTCAAAATCTATGTATTCGATGTGGAAAGAATAAAGACGAAAATCATTCTTGCGAAAATTCAGAGATTAGTTGCATTCATTGTAAGAGTACTGCACATGTTTCGGTTTCAAAAAGTTGTCCTTCTTATCAAAAACAACAAAAAATTAAAAATATTATGATTAAAAATAAAATTTCCTTTATCGAAGCCAAGGAAATTAATGAAAACTCGTATTCAGAGGCCCTAGGCCAAAATAAGTTTTCAATTTTAGCGAACTACGATAAAAATTTTCCTGATATTACACAAAATAAAATGTCCCTAACATCTGCGCAATCTACTTCTAATACAACTACGAGTACCAATTTTAATCCAACTTTTCGCCAAAACTCGAACAATTACTCAGTTCCTAACAAAAAGAGGAAAGCCAATTCTTCTCCTACTGTATCTTCTAACTCTGTTCAGCCACCTCCCATGTTTAACTTCAGATTTTGGACCATCTCAACCTCTACCTGCTAATCCACCCCGTTCCACTTCTCATAGTGGAAAAAGGGAAAACCAAGATATTGCTCGAGCTATGACTAACTTTGTAATTAGTTTTTTAAAAAATATACGTACATTGGACGATTTGAAATCATTAGATAATGAAATAATAAATCATGAAATTACTTCTGTATTGGAGGGTACAAAAAAGGTTACATAATTTTCACTCTCTTAAATAGATTAAAAATCATGCAATGGAATTGTAGATCTGCTGTCGCCAACAAAAACAGTTTAACACATTTTTTAAATGAAAATGATATTGATGTTGCCTTGTTGAGTGAGACATGGTTTAAACCCGATAAACAATATAACTTTAAGGGTTATAAGATTATTCGTCGCGACCGATATGATGGTTACGCGGGAGTGGCTATACTTATAAATCAATTCTTCTTTTTCAAGAAATTCGTATTACACAAAATTTTAATGACGATATACTTGTTTGTGGAATCACGTTAAAATTTAATAACTCTGATATTAATTTTGCTTCAATTTATAGACCTCCAGATATTCGATCGACTTCCAAAGATTGGTGTCAAATTTTTGAACAATTTAATTTTCCTTGCATTATAGGTGGTGATATGAATGCGCATAACAGTTTGTGGGGTTCACTTAAGAATGATGGCATTGGGCACCAACTTATTAATGCCATTGATACTCTTGATTTAGTTGTTCTTAATAATGGCAACGCAACTTGTCTGACCCGCCCGGATGTGAAACAATCTAGTGTTGATATTACGTTGTGTTCTCCTGATTTAGCAAAAGAAATTACTTGGGACGTCTTGGATGACACACTGGGATCGAATCATTATGTAGTTCTCATGAATTTTTCTTCTGTTATTTCTCGTAATGAATACATTCTTCCAAAGTCCAAATGGAATGTTAATAAAGCTAATTGGACCCAATACTCTGATCTAATTGAACAAAACTTTCTTAACTATTCGGACAGCTTGACTACCTCAGAGAAATATGACTTCCTAGTGGAAAGTATTAATAATGCATCTTCTCAATCCATTCCGACATATAAACCCTTTAAAATTATTAAACGACCACCTCCTCCGTGGTGGGATTTCGAATGTGAACAAGTTGTTTCTGACAGGAAAGATGCTTTAAAAACATATAAAAATAACTCTAGTTTCACTAATTACGTACGATGTCAGGAAGTAATGGCTAAAACAAAAAAAGTTCTAAAACGAAAAGCCAAAGAAACTTGGAAAAACTGGTGTTCATCATTAAATAAAAATATGCCTATTAAAAATGTGTGGAATGAAGCGAGGAAAATGCAAAGGAAGTATACTCCAAGTATTAATCATTTTAATGATGAACTGATTGAAGAATTTTTTGACAAAATAGCACCTCCATCAGTTAACACTGCTATAGAAATTCAAAATAATACTATAACTTCAAGTCACTTTCTTCTAAATCCATTTACACGGGAAGAACTTGACTTTGCGCTAACTAATAGGCCTAACACCGCTCCGGGTTACGATGATATTAAATATCCTATGCTTAAAAAACTTCCCAATATAGCGAAAAACGTATTACTTGATATTTTTAATGATATTCTTTTTAAAGATGCAGAAATTGATGTATTAAGAACTGTTATTGTCATAACCAATCCTCAAACCAAATAAAGATCCCAACTTGGTACAATCATATAGGCCAATCTCTTTGATGTCGTGTGTTTTGAAGACTTTGGAAAGAATTATCAAAGTTAGACTAGAATGGTGGATAACTTATAATAAATTAGCTTGCCAAAATCAGTTCTCTTTTAAAAAAGGAGTTGGTTCCCTAGATGCTCTTAGTACTCTCGTTGTAGACATAAACAATAATTTTGGCAGAAAC